CATATACTGTATGCGGCCCTGTGTAAACAATTTACTGTGTTGAGAGCCCGTTCCTTACATGCTCCCAGCACAGTAGCCAGTGAGGATCGGTAAGCTCACAATGCATACTTGTAATTGGGAACTTTCTGATCATGTGACTGTTGTGACAGCCAGGGAGAATGTCATTAGCACACAGAGGATTACTAATATGGGTCCAAAATTTTTAATGAAAGATCACATAGTAACAGCAAGGCAATGTTTCAGAGTCTCGCATGACCCCTTCATCAGGAATGTGACAGCCAATCACAGCAGTCACATGACCCAAATGCTCAACTCAACCTCCTTTTATAACTCTTAAAGGGCTGAGAGGCAATTGGTGGGAAGGAGCTAATGCACCTGCCATACCTGTAGGCCCTTTCTTTCACCCATGAAACCTGGCTGAAATACTCCCAATGTTTACATTCCTACATCCTGGATTAGTTCCAGGACATGGGCTACAACAAAAAGGCCACCGAGGCTCCTTCTTTGAAAGACAGCTAAAAAAGATTATCACTTTAGTTGTCCTCAAAGTAGGAGGCTCAGTGGCCAATTTGTTGTAGTCAATGTGCTGGAAATAAATCGGGATGTAAGTATATAAATAGTTGGATTATTGCAGCCAGGCTTCATGACTAACAGAAAGAGACTACAGGTATGGCATGTGCATTAACCTCCCTGGCGGTATGATTATTTCAGATTTTTGGTGCTGAAAGCGGTACCATTTATTTGCATGGAAATATGTATTTTTTTATTGTAGGCTGTAATTTTTAGGAAAAACTCACTGAAATCTGTCCGAACAAGAGTCTAGTAAACATCCCGGGTATGATAAAATTTGAAACACAAAATCATAAATTATAATTTAATAAATAATCATAAAAATAATATAAAAACAATACAAAATTTAATTCAATAATATAATCAAACCAAAAACACTGAAATGTGAAATAGAGCGCCAAGTTCGCACATTGCTGAGCTCAGTCGCAAAATCATTTTCAGTGTCTGATGACGAATTTCCCCACGAATCATTATCACTCAATTCTGCAAGTGGTTCTGATTTACTATCGCTGTTCTCTAGCTGATCTAAACCGCTTTTGACCTAAAGGGACACTTTTTGGACGCCATGGACATTTCTCAGTTTCCAGGCAGAAAGAACAGACAAAATGCAGGCAGGGCGCAGGACAAAGCACTAGGGACAATATGTATGTGAAATTGGTTGAGACAGCAATGTTTTACTATGTAAAATGTAAAAAAAAAAAAAAAGACATTTTTTAAAATTTTTAACATTCGGCGCCCGTACGTCCCGACGTCACAGGGACAGGACACAGAAGCCGGATGCCGGCATCGGCCGGAGGAGATGGCTGGGGACGCTGCAGGGGACACATCGTGGGAGCGCAGGGTAAGGTAAGTGAAGAACACATGCCGGAGCAGTGCCGCATGGTATTCCCGAGTGTAGCTCGGGGTTACCGCTTTTGGTACTGAAATGTTACCCCGAGCTACACTCGGGAATACCGCCAGGGAGGTTAAACAATATTTTCTATAAAATGCACAGTGCGTTTTAGACTACCAGGGCCCCTTGTCTGCTTGGCCCAGTTTATGTCAAAGGTGGGCTTAGCCTTTAATATATTAATATCATTTTCAGAGGCCAGTTCTGGGATCCCACCTCTAGTCATCCCCCCAACAACAGCATGGATTCATGAAAGACAGAAGTTGTCAAACAAATTTGATTTCTTTTTATGAGGAGGTGAGCAAAACCTTGGACAGAGGGGTGGCGGTGGACGTGGTATACTTGGACAGAGGGGTGGCGGTGGACGTGGTATACTTGGATTTTGCAAAAGCGTTTGACACAGTTCCCCACACATGGCTAATGTGTAAGGTAAAGTCTACAGGCTTGGAAAAATCTGTATGTAAATGGGTAGAAAACTGGCTAAAATATCGTATTTAGAGAGTAGTGGTTAATGATTCATTCTCTGAATGGTCTAGGGTTGTCAGTGGTGTACCCCAAGGTTCAGTGTTGGGACCCTTACTTTTTAATATATTTATAAATGATATAGAGACTTGGATTAAAAATACCATTACAGTCTTTGCAGATAACACCAAGCTGTGCAGTGGAATAATGCCCTTACTGGATGTTTCCAACTTACAAGCCGACCTCAATGCACTGTTTAATTGGGCAACTATGTGGCAAATGAGGTTTAATGTTGATAAATGTAAGCTTCTGCACTTGGGGGCTAAGAATATGCATGTATCATACATACTAGGGGGAGTACAACTGGGGGAATCAATGGTGGAGAAGGATCTGGGAGTTCACAAGCTTAATAATGGCATGCAATGCCAAGCTGCAGTTTCTAAAGCGAGCAAAATCCTCTCTTGTATTAAAAGAGGTATAGACTCCAGAGAGAGAGATATCATATTACCCCGGTACAAATCATTAGTAAAACCTCATCTGGAATATGCAGTTCAGTTTTCGGCACCAATTCACAAAAAGAACATTGGGGAACTGGAGAAAGTACAGAGAAGGGCAACCAAACTGATAAGAGGCATGGAGGAGCTCAGCTATGAGGAAAGATTAGAGGAACTAAATTTATTCTCTCTTAAGAAGAGGAGATTAAGGGGGGATATGATCAACATGTATAAATACATCAGTGGTTCATATAGTGAACTCGGTGTAGAGCTATTCACCCTGAGGTCATCACAGAGGACAAGGGGACACTCTGTACGTCTGGAGGAAAAGAGATTTAATCTCCAATTATGGAAAGGTTTCTTCACAGTAAGAGCTGTGAAAATGTGGAATATTCTACCTCAAGAGTTGGTTCTGGCCATCTCAGTGGATTGTTTTAAAAAAGTCCTGGATTCTTTCCTAGATATACATAACATAACTGGATACTAACATTTATAGGTAAAGTTGATACAGGGAATAGCCAATAGCTTCTTCTTTATGGTTGAACTGGATGGACTTTTGTCTTTTTTCAGCCAGACTAACTATGTAACTATATAACAAGACCCACCTGCATGTATTTTTTGCCTTTTAGAAAAAATATCAACTTTATTGGTTTTTAAGAAAGACACGTGAAATTCAAAGAAATTTAAAGGATAGGTATGTCCAAAGCTTTTTTAACCATACTTCTGTTAGGGTTCACAGCAGTGAACTTTGTCCTGCACTCCTGTGTCCCAGGTTCAACGAACAACTAGCTAAAGCCTGCTGTCAGCTGGCATCACACAGCTGGTCCAAGAAGTCCGGAAGTGACGAAACGCGTTAGAGGAGTGACGTCACGACGCACATACGTAGACCGGAAGTGTCGCCGTGGCCATTTTGTTGGTTTTCAACACATGGTTTTCTATGGTGTTTGGTTGAAAAAACTTGAAACCATGTCTGGAGCTGATATTTTTAAATCTCAATGTAAGTGATGAATAAAAAGTTATCCCTAAGCTTTGAATACTAGTCCTGAGACCCTTCTTATCTCTCTGAGGACCTTGGAAAAAACTTCTTGGAAGATAATGTGGAGGAATACTTTTCCATAGTATTGTTTTAGCATTTCAATACTCATAGAGGGTAATAGTATTTAGTACTATTGTGTGTTGGTTGATGGTAGACACTGAATTGCAGTGACCACAGAGTGCTCACAGTTTGATTTGTGTGATTATATGCACTATAAGAAAATAATTTGGATTTGTATATTTTTTTTTTTCCCTGCACAAAAGGTTTTTTGAAGTGTATTTTGGTTGCACGGGGTGATTATTGTTATTATTTTTATTATTAAGGTAATGCACTAGATATTATTATATTTTTTACTTTGAGGTGCGTTTTGGATGAAATAGGAGCCAATCCTTTCAGTGGATGAAAAGAGTGAATACATTTTGGGATATTTGTGGACACAATTTTGGACTTTCTTTTTGGACACTTTTTGATTAGTGGGACTGTGTGGCATATTATATGTTTAAAATCAATTTATTTTATTTATTTTTGTAATTCACAAAAAGGTTGTATATATATATATGTATATGTATGTGTTTCTGCAGGGATCCTGACAATAATATCGGCAGCTTGCTCAGCCTCTCAGAAGGGTTCTCACTGCTCCAACCCCCTCCACAGCCCAGCGCTTTGGTAGCACTATATGGGCAAAGCACAGAGCGGTGACTGACAGTCACTGGCTCTCTGCTCCCTGAAGACCGAAAACTGAATGATCAGGCATGTCTGATCACTCAGTTCTTGATGTAAAACCAGCGAATTGATGCTGTAGCTATCTACTGTAGGTGAGTATGTATGTCTATTTTCGTTGTGAACACATAATTTTCTTTTAAATGACACTAGGATACTGGGTGTAATTTAATCTGGAAAAAAACATTAGATGGCAGAGCAGGTGAGCATGTGGGGCACAGCAGAGTTGGACTTTAAAGGGACTGCAAGTGGCTGACACAGGTCAAATTCAGGTTACAGAGTAGCATTATTATTATTTTTTTTTTTAACTGAGTTAAAAAGCTTTAACATAAAACTCTATGCTCCTGCAATGAAGGACCTTGATCAGACATTTCCTGTAATGGTGTGCCAATGCTCTGTTCTGCTCTTTCACATACACCCCTGGTGGAGACTATAAGCAGCATGTACTGACACATTGTGAAAGCATGGTCCACAATTGTCACTCCCCGGATGTCAACACTGAGCAATAATATGCTGTAGTAACTCAAGTGAGTGCATATGGACATTAGGCAGAAAGTGGCTGAAGGAGGTTAGAGGAGATCAGCAGCACATGAGATGGGAAAAGCAGAAATGGTGAGAACAGGATTTTATGGGAAAATTGTAATTTTTTTATGATCCATACTGCAAGTCATCCATTTAGGGTTTACAGTTACTTTAATAACAGTTTCTTGGCTCATTTTTAATCCTTTTGGTTACTCTCATTTCTTTAAAAACTATAAAATGGCATTCGTGATTTAGATCTCTAGAGAGTCTTACTAAAGCAGCAGCTGAATAGGAATTTCCAACTAACCTAAGTAGGCTGCCAGAGGCTCATTTTTATCTTCTGTTCTTGTGTGAAATGAATTATTCCCTGGGGTGACAACGTCATCAGATTTCATCATGACAACTGTCCCATTCCAATCGTAGGCTCCAACTGCACCAAGCATCACCCAGTCCTAAGTCACAGGAAAGAATATATTGAGGTTAATGCAAATCAAGCTATGTATATTTTCATTTCATAAACAACAAAGAACACCTATGGGACTGTGGGCAGAACCCAAAATTTACAGTAAAAACATAATTAATAATAATAAAACACTATTAAACATTTTTATTTTTGGATCAAAGTTGCCCTTTATTATCGATAATATAAATATTATATATTATTAGACCCAACATGTAACAGCTATATAAAATAACATATATTTGACCAATGAAATCACACAAAACCAAAATATATCTTCACTTACAATTAAGAATAAATATATATAACTCAGCTTTTACACCTCAAGTTATGGCAACTGGTACAAATAAAAATCACTTTTTGAATGAAAGGGATGGATACCACATAAAAAGGACCACAACATGGGCAGGAGGGCGGTAGGGCGGGATGCTTCTTTTTTTGTTGCTCTCTCTGTCTGACAGCTTGTGATGCAGATCAATTGTTTAACCCCTTGACGCCGGCGCCTCCCAGCCCCTTAAGGGTTTTATGACTCCGGGAGGTGGGGCGGGTTTTAAGGTCATGTGACTGCTGTGATTGGCTGTCTTTGTGGTCACATGATCAGAAAGCTCCTGACTGCAAGTAGCGATCTGGACCTTTCCGTGAGGTGCTGGTAAATGCTTCAGGAGGGCGCTCTTGGCACATGTTTTGTTTGCATTGGGTTTACAAATATGCGGCCTTGGTGTCAAGGAGTTAAATACACATTGCCTCATGCTACAGCTGTTTAAAAATGTGACTTTCTCCTTTTAACCAATTACAGTATAACCTGCTTACATAACAATCACAGTTGCTATGCAAAATCGGCCAATTTTAACCACTTCAAGTCCGGACACTTTTACCTCCTTCCTGTCCAGGCAAATTTTCAGCTTTCAGTGCTATCACACTTTTTTAGCATTTTTTTTGAGACAGATAAAGCTTTATTTTGGTGGTATTTATTCACCACTGGGATTTTTATTTTTTTTGCTATATAAATGAAAAAGTCCAAAAATTTTGAAAAAAAAGTGTTATTCCTTATAACATTTTGCAAATAAATAATATTTCATCATAAATCTTGGCCAAAATTTATTCCGTTATCTTTTTAGTAAACAAACAAAAACAAATTAGTTTATAACCAAAAATTATAATTTTTAAACATTTTTGTTTTACATTTTTTTTTTTATATTATTATTTATTTTGTTTTTTTGTTTTTTACATACTGTCACCCTAGCAGTACAGTGTCACCATGGTGACACTGTACTACTTGTGAAGGGTGATGAAGACTTTTTTTTTTTACACTGATTGCTTTTACATCCATAAAAGGCTTTAAAAGCAATCATTTCTCCTTCTCTCTGGCTGCATTCTTGCAGCCATTGAGAAATACTGTGTGAGCTGTGAGTGGTCACAGCTTGTCACATGGTACAAGGCTGTTGTGAATAGCCTTGTACCATGTGACCTCTCTGATCATTCACAGATTTCACACGTAGTAAGCAATGATGTCAGAAGCTTGCTACTCTACATGTGATCACTCATTGGCCAATCAGTGATCACATGATTGGGACCTCGCCACAGAGGTCCCGTACGACGATCAGGGTTCCACTGCAGCGGTGCTGCATGCTTCCAGGAAGCGCACATGAGCAGGGGGCGGGGAGGCTGTTTATAAACAGCCACCTGCCCCTGTACTGCCACCGTCCGCCCATTTATATACAACGGCCAGACGGGAGGTAGTAAAGGTATGCCACGGTCCCATAGGTGGGTGAAGCAAATTAATTGCTCCCCCACTTCCCATTCCTGAAACACACGGAGGAAATCTCCAGTTTTGGTGAATATTTCATACTGTTTACAACCTATAGAATTGCCATACATGCAATTTAGTAAACTAAACCCAAGAGCAAAAATGCCATATATTGCAACTTACAGTCATTAGATGTTGTGGCTGCCTTAGTTTTCTCTCTTTTCAAGCTAAGAACATTTTCAGAAAATATAGCTTGAGGTGATTGTAGCCGTATTAGTGCACTTGCGGCAGAAACAATTGAGTACTGTCCGTGATACTTTTTTTATTTGCACTAACAAACAATTTTGAGGACAAGCTTTTGGGGAGTGTCCCCTTCTTCAGGTTAAAGCAGAACTCTGCTTGGACCTGAAGAAGGGGACATTCCCCAAAAGCTTGTCCTAAAAATTGTTTGTTAGTGCAAATAAAAAAAGTATCACAGACAGTACTCAATTGTTTCTGCAGAAAATATAGAAAATTCCTGTTGATATTTTCAGAAAAGCAATGTCCTTGTCACTTCCCATGAGCTGCACAGAAAATTATCTTCCTTCCTAGCTATCTTCTGTAAACTACCAATTGCTCAGCTCCCCCCCCCACCTCCCATATGTAATGGAGATTAAGAGATATCTGCTGGTTTTTAGTCCACATCAGGAAAGCAATCTAGGGTGACAAAAAAACATGGCTCCCTCCAGGGATACCCAGATACGCACAGGGACAGGAAGTGTGTTATTTTCAGCATTAACAGAAGCAAATAATGTAAAAAAAAGCTTGACCAAAGAAAAATGATTCAGCCACCGCACCAAGGACTGATAGGCTATAATATGGTACATTTTTGGGTTTGGGTTTAGATACACTTTAATGTTATTAAAATTACTTATGCATACTTTTTGAAGCTTATTAAATATTCTAAGACTGTCAAGTTAAAACAAAATATACAAAAAAGTGAACAAAAGGTCAACTGTAAACCTCAAGTAAGAAGTATTGATTTAAAGACAAATCTAAGAAGTGGTGGGAGAGCTCTGAGAGCCAGCAAATGAAAATGTTCCTTTTACATGCAATATGACAACCTGACATACTTATGAAAAATGCAACTAGATGTCTAATTTCCTAATTACTTGACTAACTTACTGTTGTTCCCTGATGTTTTCTCTAGGCTATGGGTCACATGGTAAGGATCCCCTGCAATAAGAGTTAAATTTTTGGTGAGATACCTTCTAAGACAGGGGTAGACAACCTTGGTACACCAACGGCTTCTGCCTCTGTGGTTCATACTTGTGCAGGGGTGGACTGACAACTCATGGGGCCCCCGGCAATAATGTGGCCCCCTGTGTCTCCACCTACACTAAAGCCAAAGCCACACCCACACAACACCCCATCTACAAATTGCAGGGCATATAAAAAGGTAATTAAAAATAATTACAAAATATTAAAACAACATCATGGAGTCCATTCATACCAAGCCCCTTAGGTCTGGTACAGGGGCGGACTGACAACTCATGGGGCCCCCGTGCAATAGGGGATCATGGGGCCCCTGTGTCCTTGCCTACACTCAAAGCACACCTAAAAAAGCCTATAAAAAAGGTACCAGAGGCATTTCATGGGGCCCCCTTCTGACCCTGGGCCCTCGGGCAGTGCCCAAGTGCTCGAATGGTCAGTCCGCCCCTGGTCTGGTAAGGATTTTGAGGGGAACCCCCATGCCAAAATTAAGAAAAAATGGTGTTGGGTCCCCCCAAAATCCCTACCAGACCCTTACCCGAGCATGCAGCTCGGCAGGTCAGGAAAGGGGGGGGGGGTGAGCGAGCGCCCCCCTCCTGAACCATACCAGGCCACATGCCCTCAATATGGGGGGGTGCTTTGTGGGTTCCCCCCCCAAAGTACTTTGTCCCTATGTTGATGGGGACAAGAGCCTCTTCTCCACAACCCTGGCCTGTGGTTGTGGGAGTATGCTGGCAGGGGGCTTATCGGAATCTGGAAGCCCCCTTTAGCAAGGGGGCCCCCAGATCCTGACCCCCCCCATGTGAATGAGTATGGGGTACATGATACCGCTACCCATTCACAAAATAAAAAGTGTAGTGTGAAAAAAGACATGAGACAGGAGTCCTTTATTAAAAGACGAAAAATAAAAGAATGTCCCCTGAAGTAGACACAATGTCAATAACCATGCCCGCCATCGCTGCTACCCGAAAAAAGAAGTAGAAAAAAAAGGCTCCGCTCTCAACACTGGCTCCCGGCCATCTGCCTACTCCGCTGGCTTGACATTTCTTAAATATGTAAGGGGCAGGGACACCAAGTGACATCACGCATGCGATGTGATTCCATGAAACAGGCTATTATTAACTGAACCTCCCCCTAGATAGCCCACACCATGTTCAAATACATATTTGTATAATGATTTAAAACATTTATTTGATATGAATTATGTTTTTTTCCTTTGGATTCTAAAGACTGTTTGTGGGTTTTTTTAACATGTGACCAGCTGTAAAAGACCAGACGCTCCTCCCACTGATGGGCTGGGTCACATGGCAGCTGTATATTGATTAAGGTACTTAGATTTTATTTTTAATTAAATACAGTACCATCGTTCATAAACAGTGTGTAAAAAAGAAGTAACAATGTAAATTAAACATTTTGTCATCTGTTAATCCACCATCAATCCAATCATCATCTACCAGAGTGAGGGTAATAAAGTAGTTACAAATTCTTAGGAAACAGCATAAGGTTTTTAAAACTATCCATCCCTGACCTCTCTAGCTGCAAGTAATGTCAAGTATTTTTTTCTCAAAGTTCACAACAAAGACTCTAAAGTCAGGTCTCAGTCAGTTCTGTTTCTGATATGTTTGTTGTATGTTACATTACAGGGCTGGCATACTGCCAGCAATAAAAAAAATAGGGAAAAGCTAAGCTTTCTATATGTTTTGAAAGTTGAAGATTAGTTCCTCCACAATAGCTATAGTTATAAGGATGAATGAGAGTTTATTGCAACTGCTTGTTCAGAATTTGAAAATTTATTTGTGTGCATAGTCTGGCCACATGTTCACCTTTAAATATACTGAAGAGCTGTATATATAGAAAACACATACCGTTTTTAGGAACGTGGATGTACCTTGCATTTTCTTAAGTCAGAAGGTCTGGGTATCCCACCATTATGATCAATTTCCAAGATCAAAGTGATGTATTTGTGGGTATAAGTATTATGTCAATGTGTGCGATCATAATATTAAGAAATGTGGTCATATTGAGGCCTTAAAAGGCACGCTAAAGAAAGGTATTTTATTTGTTAAAGTTTTTAACAGTTGATTATAATAAATGAAAAGATTTTTAACAAGCAGAAAATAATTGTCTATGTTTTATAAGTTTAACTAGCACCTGTAAAAGTTCAAATATGTAACCAATATTTACATTTTTTTATAGATTCTGTTGAGTTAAAATTACTGATACTGGTTTATATTTATGTCTGTGACTTTATTGGCATGATTTTGGATCACTTCTTTTCCTGTGATGCCCAGACAATAAATGGGAGGAGTGGTTGTCCCAATGACAGGAAGGTACAATCAGTGATAAAAACATTGTGAGAAGTTCTAACTCTCCCCCATGTGTTACTGTCTGCTTCTCCATTGGAGAGATTTCCTATAACTTCCTGTTCTGACCAGACAGCAGTACAACTGTATCGAAGAAATAGGAGTGCCACAGAAATGGTTTGGAGTATAAAAATGTATTACTTTAAATTCCAAGTAAAATTTTCCAACACATTTTACTCCCCTTTTATTTTCATCAAGGCTTAAAATGCTAGTATAAAAAAAAAAAAAAAAAACAACACATGTTCATTGAAAGGTTAGCTTGAACTTTCATGATTAAATACATGATTCTGACTCCAAGCCATTAATATGACACTCCTTTTTCCTCTATACATTTTGAATCTTATCTAAAGCCCCCCCAGAGCCCCTTCTGTATATTTGAGCTGTCCACCCACACGCCTTATTGTATATTGCAGCTTTCCATTCTTTAGATGTGGTGGTTGCATTGTTTTTTTTTTTTTCTTCAGGATTCTTTCTTTATTATACCTGGTAATCCAGTGAATTACACATTTCTTGTTCCCTCATGTCATTTTTTCCCATTGTATATATGAGAACAGCCATGGTTGTCACACAAACTGGACCTCAAACATATCATCCCTTGTTAATTTCCATTACATGGTGGATTGATGAGACTATCTGTATTTTATTGTTGCTTTATTGCTCAAAGTAAGGGACAAGGACACTGTGCTTAAGACTCTATAGGACACAGCTTTCCCTTGCCGTTGCCCTGAAGGAGATCAGAGAGTGGACATTGCTGTCCAGTGTACACCATCACTGCTGCATCTGGTCGTCCTCAGTGGGATCTGGAGTGCTGAGTTTGGGGGTGCCAACAGACAGAGTCACCTGGGTGCAGAACAGAGAGTGGACTAATCGCTGTGTGTGACAAGATGGTGAGCTTCGATATCGCTGGAACTGATGAGCTGCTGCTGTGAGGTTCTACTATCTACTGAAAGAGATACTGAGCCCTTTAGGAACTGACCTTACAGCCATCTAGTATTTCTATGTGCAGGTGTGACTTGGAGTATTCTCATATGCACCAAGGGTACAGCTGGGCCCCAACACTAGCCAGATGAAGAGTTAGGACTAAAGACTGCTCCTTCACAGCTTCTACTCAGAGACCTTTACTTATTGCGTATGCTAAAAGGTACCTCTCAGGGGACATTGCACTATATCCTGGTCATTCTCTTAGAGTGCATGCTAAACCTATTCCAGTATTCTTCCCTACACTGCAGTTAATGTTTATATGCACTGTTTATTGCTGACTGCTGATTTATGAGTTGATTCCAGTCAAGCGGTACCAGGGGCGGACTAACCATTTGGAAACTCGGGCACTGCCCGAGGGCCCGGGGTCAGTAGAGGGCCCCATGAGATGCCCCTGGTACCTTTTTCATAGGCTTTGAGTTTGGGCAAGGACACAGGGGCCCCATGATCCCCTATTGCCCGGGGGCCCCATGAGTTGTCAGTCCGCCGCTGAGCGGTACCAAACTCTATTCTAAGTTACTTTGATATGGCCAATTTTTGGACAATATTGAAGCACGATGAGCTTATGAAACATGCATTCACAGCTGTTAGCACAATAAAGGTGGATAATTACATTGCTGCTAATGGAAAAAAAACACCAGTTTTAAGATGCTAAAAACCAACACACTAAATACTAAACTTACACTTTAATCACTTAGTTATCAAATGGCAGGAACCAGAAAGAGCCTCAATAAAGCTTTCTGCAGTATTTTGAGAAATAGTATACTGTGCAAAGAAAACCAAGAAAACTGTGCTTACCTTAGAATAGTGAGCACTGAATCCAGACTGTGACATTTCCATTTCAAATGACACTGTCTGTTGTTCTGTTGTAGCTTTAATGAAAAATGAAAAAAAACATGTTATTGCCTTTAAGAGAATGCATTTTGGTTTTGTACATATGCATTTATTTACGTAATATAGTGAGGAATTCAAAAGAATGTAACATTTAGTATGAAATGTATGTATACTTATTTATGTACACTTTTATCCAGCCAGCAATATTCTTATAAGTGTAACTTAAGGCTATCCCAAATTATTAATGACCATAGCAGAGATATGGGTGTGTGGGACTTTCAAAGCACACATTTTTATGGACAACCATACATCATCATTCATACAATATTAAAGCCAATAATAAATAAAAATCTGTATAGGCTAGACAGACATCCAATAAATTTGGCAAAAATACAAACATATGTATAAGCATTGTATCCTTCATATAAATGAATGTTCCATCAACACTATATTCTTGAGTCCTAGAGATTTCCAATATCAAGGATAGAAGGATGTCCGCAGCCTTCACAAATGAAATGCTTTAAAAAGGCAACCAGTCAGTACAATCCCATGACGCTCAATCTCAAAAGGAAGAGGACTGCGCGCAGAGATCCACAGGGCAGTGTACCTCCTGATATATATATATATATATATATATATACACACACACACACACACACACACACACACACACACACACACACACACAGTATTTTCTGGCGTATAAGACTACTTTTTATACTTAAAAAATATACGCCCAAAATTGGGGGTCTTATACGCGGGGTATAAAATGTAAACATTGAGTTTGTTTGGGTCAAGCTGGCTGGATGTGCAGTAATGTATATACAGAATACCGTGCTGAGCCAAGCTGGCTCAAAACAAATGTCCCTATGACAGATTAATCTGTCAGCCCGCTGGATGTGCGGTATATGCAGTATACTGCGCTGAGCCAAGCGGTTTCAAAAGGTACTGGTACGTCCCTACGGTAATCAGCCCGCTGGATGCGTGTTTGTACAGTAGCTGAGTCAGAGAGGTGGGCTGATGATGTCACAACCTCAGCCAATCCGAGCAGGCTTTGTATTCATTAGTAGAGTACATCGCTCGCCGTGATTGGCCCAGTGTATACTGTATGTAGCCTCAGCTACTGTACATACACACATCCAGCGGTCTGATTACCGTAGGGACGCACCGGTACGTTTTGAAACAGCTTGGCTCAGTATACTGTATATACCGCACATCCAGCGGGCTGACAGATTAATCTGTCATAGGTACATTTGTTTTGAGCCAGCTTGGCTCAGCGCGGTATACTGTATGTACTTTACTGCACATCCAGCGGGCTGTATATATACTGTATACTGTATGTAGCCGAAGCTACTGTATTACTGCACATCCAGTGGGCTCTATATATACTGTATACTGTATGTAGCCGAAGCTACCGTATTACCGCACATCCAGCGTTAACCATCTCATTTGGAATTTGATCCGTATGATGACTGTCTTACAAATGTATCACAAGATGTCATTCATGAACTTATGATGTCAGAGGATGAACATGAGGATTTTGAAGGATTTTAAGTACCGGTAAGTCATAACCATTTCAATTAAAAAATCTGATGTTTTTAAATGGTGTTGCCTCGGAAGGGGGGTAGTCTTATACGGCGAGTATAGCCCAAAACCTATGTTTTAACTGGAAAATTAGGGGGTAGTCTTATACACCCAGTCGCCTTATACGCCGGAAAATGTATATGTATATACGTATATATAATAAAAAAAAATTCAAATCACAAACAAAAATCCAAAAATATATTAGCTAACCTTAAACAGTATATGAAGGGAACCTGTCCAGGGACACAGCCGACCGCCACTGACCAATTAGGAGAGAAGCAAAAACAGCCATGTCCCAGGAAAGATCCCTTAAATATGATGTGAACAGGAAATCGGGTTGGGAGGCACCCAAATATTAATCATAGAGCTCGGCTACTAGACCGTCCAAAATGCCAGTAAGGCTTATAAACACCGAGGCCTGCTACCCTCTTGCAGTTTTCCCCCCTGCACATTCACCATAGAGGCAAGGAGTGATGGTGGCCCTGTGCATGGACTGAAGTGGTATGATGCAGCCATTCTGGAGCACAGATGAATTTCAGATGCAGAAAAATGTCTGGGAAAGATGGAGAAACCAGAAAAACATGACATGCCACACAATTTTGTGAACTGTCGCATAGAGGACGTCATCTTTCTTCTTACCTGCGAATGTGGCAGTTTTTATGTGGGGAAAGTTAAATGAGAATGGTGAAAGAGAATTTAAGATTATGTCGAAGTAGGACTTTGTTACCTTCCCGTGGGCAGGCATGTGGCCCAAATTCATCACTACCATTTTCTGAAGGTTTAATTCATTGCACTGGACCACATGCACCCAGATCTATATGTTAGAGACTGGGATAAGGCCCTACTACAAACGGAATTGCAGTGATTTGTAGTTTGAGGGCCAATAATCCTTCTGGACTACATGAGGCCATTAGCTTCCAAAATGTTTTTGGAGGGATATTAAACCTAAGACAAGGTAACAGAAAAAAGCAAAAATAGGCTCATTTATGTACTGTTTTGATTTATTGATCTGTGTTATGATTTATACCATTTACATAGGGGATCGAAAGTTTGGGCACCCCAGCTAAAAATTTGTATTAATGTGCATAAAGAAGCCAAGGAAAGATGGAAAAATCTCCAAAAGGCATCAGATTACAGATTAGACATTCTTATAATATGTCAACAAAAGTTAGATTTTATTTCCATTATTTACACTTTCAAAATAACAGAAAACAAAAAAATGGCATCTGCAAAAGTTTGGGCACCCTGCAGAGTTAATATCTTGTACTGCCCCCTTTGGCAAGTATCACAGCTTGTAAACGCTTTTTGTAGCCAGCCAAGAGTCTTTCAATTCTTGTTTGAGGTATCTTTGCCCATTCTTCCTTACAAAAGTCTTCCAGTTCTTTGAGATTTCTGGGCTGTCTGTCACGCACTGCTCTTTTAAGGTCTATCCATAGATTTTCAATTATGTTGAGGTCAGGAGATTGTGAAGGCCATGGCAAAACCTTCAGTTTACGCCTCTTGATGTAATCCCCCGTGGATTTCGAGGTGTGTTTAGGATCATTATCCATTTGTAGAAGCCATCCTCTCTTTAACTTCAGCTTTTTCACAGATGGCATCAAGTTACCATCCAAAATTTGCTGATATTTTATTGAATCCATTTTTCCTTTTACTCATGAGATGTTCCTGTGCCACTGGCTGCAACACAACCCCAAAGCATGATTGATCCAACCCCATGCTTAACAGTTGGACAGAGGTTCTTTTCATTAAATTCTGTGCCCCTTCTTCTCCAAACGTACCTTTGCTCATTCCGGCCAAAAAGTTCAATTTTAACCTCATCGGTCCACAGAACTTGTTTCCAAAATGCATCAGGCTTGTCTATATGTTCATTTGCAAAGTTCAAACGATGATTTTTGTGGTGAGGACGTAGAAGAGGTTTTCTTCTGATGACTCTTCCATGAAGACCATATTTGTACAAGTATCTCCTTATAGTGGAATAGTGTACCACAACTCCAGTGTCTGCCAGATCTTTCTGGAGGGATCGTGCAGTAAAACGTGGGTTTTGAATTGTTTTTCTCACAATCCTGCGAGCTGTTCTGTCTGATATTTTTCTTGGTCTTCCAGATCTTGCTTTAACTTCCACTGTTCCTGATGACTGCCATTTCTTAATTACATTCCGAACAGAGGATATTGACATCTGAAAACGGTTTGCTATCTTCTTATAGCCTTCTCCAGCTTTGTGAGCGTCAACTATTTTCAGTTTCAGTTTTCTAGACAACTGCTTAGAAGAACCCATGGTGCTGATTGTTGGGGCAAGGTCAGATGAGTCTGGGCATTTAAAACCTTTGAGATTGACATCACCTGGTCTTCCCAGATGATGATTGAGAACAATCCATGACACTCAGCTTGGCAAAGGGGGCAGTGCATGCTATAAATTCTGCAGGGTGCCCAAACTTTTGCAGACGCTATTTTTTTGTTTTCTGTTATTTTTAAAGTGTAAATGATGGAAATAAAATCTAACTTTTTTTGACATATTATAAGAATGTCTAATCTGTAATTTGATGCCTTTTGGAGATTTTCCATCTTTCCTTGGCTTCTTTATGCACATTAATACAAAATTTTTAGCTGCGGTGTCCAAACTTTCGATCCCCACTGTATGTGTATGCTTTTGCATTTATATGTACACTATATGTTTGTTATTAGTAATGTTATATATTTTATATTGGTTTTCATTTTCTTACATATATATTATATATACACTCACTAGACACTTTATTAAGTACACCTGTTCAATTGCTTGGTAACACAAATTGCTAATCAGCCAATCGCATGGCAGCAACTCAATGCACCTGGGCATGTAGACATGGTGAAGACAACTTGCTGAAGTTCAAACCGAGCATCAGAATGGGGAAGAAAGGAGAGTTAAATGACTTTGAACGTGGCATGGCTGTTGGTGCCAAACAGGCAGGTCTGAATATTTAAAAAACTGCTGATCTACTGGGATTTTCACACACAACCATCTCTGGAGTTTAAAGAGAATGGTCTGAAAAGAGAAAATATTCAGTTAGCGGCAGCTCTGTAGATGAAAATGCCTTGTTGATGCCAGAGGTCAAAGGAGAACGTACAGATGGATTGCTGCATCATTCAGATGGTAGGGTCAGAATTTGACATAAACAACATGAAAGCATGGATCCATCCTGCCTTGTATCAGGCTGGTGGTGGTGGTGGTGTAATGGCGGTGGTGGGGGGGGGAGATATTTTTCTTGGCACGAGCAAGGTGTACCTAATAAAGTGGCCAGTGAGTGTATGTTTCAAGTATTACCTAAAGGCAACATTTTTTTTAGTTTTGGATAGAGTGGAGATGGATTGAAACTGGTCAGTTTTTATTGCTTTCTGTGCCCCCATTAGGGAGATTCCCCCTCTCTATTTGTCCTGTTTACCATTATCATTAAAACCAAAAGTAAATGAAATTCAC